TTGACTGCATCATGATGCTCATGCAGGTAAGTTGTTTCTGACATTCGAGATATGTAAACTAGTTATCATGGTGTAAAGACAGGTGTCCCACAATAGTTAAGAGTGCCTCAGTCTGCTCCTAAATGATCTCCGGTACATCATCTTGACACATCCCACTGATTTCCTCTGGGAGAGGAAAGAGATTGTCTTGGCTAATCCAGTAAAGATCTTCGTCGTCATCCGGTAAACTGGTGACATTGGCTTCTGCTCTCTTCTGCGCATTCTGACTGGACTGTGACTGTGATTGTGCCTGTGCATGTGTCAGAGTACGCGCTGGAGCTCCTAGGAGCGGCGCGGATCCCCCGGGACGGCGGTGGAGACGCTGTCGCACAAGGCAGGGAGGCAACTGAGTATATATACAAGGATACGAGGGGAAATACACATACCTGTCGCACAAGGCAGGGAGGCAACTGAGAGAACAAGTCTGGGTTGCTCCCTGGTGCGACAGGCGACTATATAGTAGATGAGTAATCCATCAACGCAACGAAAGATGGTCCAATGAGAGAAGGGGAGGGTCCTCGGGCGCCCGACACGTGACCGGTGGACCGGCCTAGGAAGGCCGCGCGAGTGCGGAGGCCCTAGGAGCGCCGAGCGACGGAACGAAATAGGGGAGGTGCCAAAAGGAGGACGCGGGAAGCCTAGGAGGGCGCGGGAGAGCGCGACCGAATAGGGAGACGGAAGTATTAGGGGAAATGAACGAAATGGGACAGAAGCGGAAGCAGAAAAAGAGAACAATGAGACATGAGGCGAGTGTGGGAGCCGTGCCCTGACAGCATGCGCCTCATGCACCATCTTCCTCCGATTGACCAGCGATGAATCCGATTGAAGCAATACACCCAGAAGATTCCACAACCTCGGTGTCTGGCTGCGAACACGCTCTGCCATGGTGTTCACATCAAACTCGGACAATTGCTCCATGGTCATACTACGTGCACGAAAGTGGAGCCCCTGCTCTTTCTGAGTGAGTGTAACTATGTCTTGAGCATAGCTCTGTGTCATGTATTCATGTGCCCATGCAGTAACCACCGGGTTCGCACTCTCATTCTGCATCAAAGCACGGAGAATGCGCCCAGTCTCTGAAGCAACATTAAGTTCTGTATTGTGTTGAATCAGCTGGATGATAGCATCGGTAACGGTGCTTGAGTTGTGCTTAATGAGGTGTAGAAGTTGCTGAAGCTGCTCGGGAGACAGGGCAGACATAGTGGTAGCTGATGGCCTATCGTGAGTCCGCGAGCAGCATGGCTTACGATCCCTATTTAGCAACTACCTCTCGTGACCATGGCTCCTGACAGTGCGTCAATTGGCACTTCAACGAGACCCTACGGTAGGTCTCTGTGGTGTGCCGAGCAAGCCGTGTGAGTTCGCCGAGTCGTGCCGCAATTTGAAATTGCAAGTTTGGCCAGCCGCTCTATCGTGTTGTGCTCCTGGTTTCCGCATCAAAAAAAGGAAGGTATGTGAATCTTTCATAAGCAAGAAGCATCAAGAAGCATTCCTATATTTAGCATTGTCCCCTATTACAGCCTCGTGTCACGCCCAGGAGCTACAACGCGATACGAGCGGTGGTTTAGGAGCCTGGCTGCTAGTGGGTTCTGAGGGAGAGAGGCGCGACACGCGTCGGAGTTTCAAAGTTCCTCCCTCGAGCCCAAGACGGCGCACCGAGCTTCGCTCGGTGCTCGCTAATTTGAAATTACATATTGCACCAGCCGGTCCATCGCGTCGAGCTCTCAAGAGTTAGGCCTAAAATGGAAGTCTCACATGATTCTCACATGATTTTCACATGACTATTCCTAATACGGCAGGGCCCCCTTTCTAAGTAGGATGCAGAGCCTTGCCCAGCGCGCTCGACGCGATGGCCCGGCTGGTTCAGGAGCCTGCCTACCTACCCCTCTCTCCGCCCGTCGCATGACCTCTCCAAGACCAGCTGAGACCCAGGAGATCAAATTATGGGCCGTAGCGTGACCTACGCGCGGATCCTGCTCAGACAATGCTCGGTATAAACCCCATAGCGATCGCGGCGCGTTGTCTCGAGCTCGACGGCCTACCTCTCCCAACAATGTTCGTCGTGTTAAGGCGCCTCTTCACCACCTTGGCCTTGGCCTTCAGCGCCGTAGCTCTCTCCGCGCCCACTGTCACAGTTCGGAATGGCACGTATACCGGCCTGTCGCTGCCCTCGTTCAAGCAGGAGCTCTTCCTGGG